AAAAAAAAAAAAAAAAAAAAAAAAAAAAACGGAAAAAACGAAAATCTACATGCCAACGCACCAAACAGCTTTCAGGACAAAAAAAAATTTTCTATTTAAAAATAAGCACACATCACAGAAACAAGCTAACAGCACAATGGGATGAAAACCAAAAGAATCCCATCAGCTCATTTTTTTCGATAAACAGAGTTGTTGGGCGGAGAAGCAAATAAGTAATTACGGGCTAACCTCAGGCCATGAAATATTGATACCCTCCAGTTCTTTTAGTGCCTTTTTCTGTTGCTCCAGCAATCGTATCCTGCAAATTTGCGATTTTATGTTACGAAAAACAACAACAAAATGAGAAGCAGAGCTCCAAATCCTTACCTCATCTGTTCTGCATTTTCACTGAGTGTTCGCCTCCGAAGGCCCAGCATTCGCGACTCCTCTTGCGCACACATTAACGCACAGCTTAAAATGATGCGCATAACAAGGAATGCCAAAAATGATTCAATTTTCAGATCACTATAAGTTATAATTTATCCTAACTGTTTGCTCCAGCTAGGAAAAAATTTGACCCAGGTAGCGACGCACCAGGCTTGTCGTTACGATTACACGTTTTTGCATGTTTCCTTTCTGTAGAGGAATCACTTATACTACTGGGGGTATGACTGCGGTGTTCTAATTTGAACATCTGATGCGCCTGTATCCAGGGCACATGCCTACACAGAAGCTCATCTTAAGTTTGGTGGCTCGTACACGAACAGTAAACATGTTCAGAAAAATACGTTTTTTTCTTACTCCATCTGATCATCAAATTAACTGGGTGCTAACTGTGTACCGAACCAACATCTAGTTGCACGCAGACACAGGTGTGCTCAAAATCTGAATTTGAAATATTTGAGTCGCACTTTAATACGCAATATCCCGGTAAAGTTTCAGCTCCGTAGCACGACTGGTCGGCGAAGTCGCTTTACGTTACAAATATCTTTAGTGTGTCTAAATACGCCACACAACCGAACGTCTGTGCTTATTTTATGCCTACTCATCCGTGCGCGGAAAACAAAAATTCTCGAAACAGAGCCCTCTAAACAGCTCAGTTCCTGAATTGACATTTTGCCAACAATGTCTCAATTTTGACTTAGATTTATTCATACAAATAACGCAGGCGTGAGCTAATGCTGAATTTGAAATCTTTAGCTTATACGAGGGCATAAAACATTCCCGTGAAATTTTAGCTCGTTATTCTTGCCTGTTTCTCAAAATCGCTCTCCCGTCAAAAAATTTACATAATTTTTCTGGAGTCCGTATATTAGTTCCATGCGT